GTAATAATCGTGATTCTGATGTATTTTGAGAAAAAGTATTAGATTTTATGTTTGCCATATGATTGTTGCTGTCTTAATTTGATCCAACAGGGTCACCTTCAGTACTATTTTCTGTGATCAAAATGCATAAGTGTGTATGATGTATGTTTAAAAAAAATGCATTAAATCAGCAATAAAGCAAGTTCTTTGAACAGAAGAAGATATTTTTGGTGTGATGTGTTTACAGCTATGAAATCAAACCAGAGAATGAAAAAGAGAGGCCTCTTTTCTGGAGGTCAATGCTTTGGTACATGTTTTCTTTTACTTTTTGGGGGGAAAGCTAGCATTAGTAAGCATAACACTTCTACATACCGTCCTCTATGTGCCACATTTCCTACATGGTGTTCCCTCTCAGTCAGCCCTGCCTGCCCAGCGTCACTCTGCTGTCCCACTCTGGAATATTCACCAGCTCTCGCGCACTGAGCCAGCTGCACTCACTGCTAATATTAACAGTTGAGTCACAGAGCTGGGAAGAAGGGGTCAGGGGGGCTGGAGGGTTCTGGAAGCATGGTAGTGACTATAAAAGCAACTGGTTGAGTCAGGCCAGGCATTAAAAGAAGCACACAGAGGCAAGAGCTGACTGAAAGAAGACCACTACAGGAGACTCTGCTGAGAGCCTTCATCCTCTTTGAGCAACACATTATCACCGACAGTGAGTAGAAATTTGTTCTGAAATGTCAAATAGATAGTCAGAACTTAATTAGTCAGGGAGTAGGCTTTGTTCCATGTTGTGATGGATAAAGGATTTATTTGCATCCCCTTGTTGCTTTCTTTTTATCAGTTTTTTAATGTTACCTTCAAAAGACATTTAAACTAAGCTTGATCATTTATTTCCTCTGCCTAAAATAAATTGTTTTTACTGATTGAAGAATGTTGCAATTTAAGTTAAGTAAGTCAAGCAAAGGAGGTCTGGGACATTTTCATTGAGGATTTCTATTTTAAGGAATTTATTCATTTAAGGGATAAAGGAAACCGTTGAAATAAGTTGTTTAAGTTTATGCTCAGTAGCAATTAAACGTTATTATACTCAATGAATCATGTACTAATCTGTAAAAACTATGCTGCATTGGTTAATGCTTTAATGTTCAGCTATAGCATAGCAATACATTGGTTCCCTGAAACCAAAACCATTGGTGTGTAAAGAGTGCAGTGAGCTACATCAGATTCAGATGGCCAGGTTGACTAGAACCATATAAGCACAGTCCATTTACCATGTGTAGCATTGAAAAATTCAAATGTGGTGATCACCTGTTTTTTTCTAGGAACTCTGAAGCACTAAGCAAGATGTCTTCAGCTAAGGGTGTATCAATTGGCATTGATCTTGGAACCACCTATTCTTGTGTTGGGGTTTTCCAGCATGGCAAAGTGGAGATCATCGCCAACGACCAGGGAAACAGGACCACTCCCAGCTATGTGGCCTTCACTGAAACCGAGAGGCTCATTGGAGATGCTGCCAAGAACCAGGTGGCCATGAACCCCACCAACACTGTCTTTGATGCCAAACGGCTCATCGGGAGAAAGTTCAACGACCAAGTTGTCCAGTCTGACATGAAACTCTGGCCTTTCAAAGTGAACAGTGATAACGGAAAACCAAAAGTCCAGGTGGAGTATAAAGGGGAGACCAAGGCCTTCTTCCCGGAGGAGATTTCCTCCATGGTGCTGGTTAAGATGAAGGAGATTGCTGAGGCCTACCTGGGACAGACGGTGTCCAATGCAGTCATCACAGTTCCAGCTTATTTCAATGACTCCCAGAGGCAAGCCACCAAGGACGCTGGTGTGATCTCTGGACTGAATGTTCTGAGGATCATCGAGCCCACAGCAGCAGCCATTGCGTACGGCCTTGATAAAGGCAAAAGAGGAGAGCGAAACGTGCTCATCTTCGATCTGGGTGGAGGTACCTTTGATGTATCCATCCTAACTATTGAGGACGGCATCTTTGAGGTGAAAGCCACTGCAGGAGACACACACCTAGGAGGGGAGGACTTTGACAACAGGATGGTAAATCACTTTTTAGAGGAATTCAAAAGAAAACACAAAAGGACATCAGCCAGAATAAGAGGGCAGTGAGGAGGCTGCGTACAGCATGTGAAAGAGCAAAGAGGACCCTGTCCTCCAGCACACAGCCAGCATTGAGATCGACTCTCTCTTCGAGGGTATTGACTTCTACACATCTATCTCAAGGGCTCGCTTTGAGGAGCTCAACGCAGAGCTTTTCAGGGGAACACTGGAACCAGTAGAGAAGGCTCTGCAAGATGCCAAGCTGGATAAGTCCAAGATCCATGAAATTGTCCTTGTTGGGGGTTCCACGAGAATCCCCAAAATCCAAAAGCTCCTACAGGACTTCTTTAACGGCAGAGAACTGAACAAGAGCATCAACCCTGATGAAGCTGTGGCCTACGGTGCAGCAGTCCAGGCTGCTATCCTCATGGGAGATACTTCAGAGAACGTCCAGGATCTGCTGCTGCTGGATGTGGCTCCTCTGTCTCTGGGCATCGAAACCGCAGGTGGAGTAATGACACCTCTGATCAAACGAAACACCACGATCCCCTCCAAGCAGACACAGATCTTCTCAACATATTCAGATAACCAGCCAGGTGTGCTGATCCAGGTGTTTGAGGGTGAGAGAGCCATGACTAAGGATAACAACCTCCTGGGAAAGTTCGAGCTCACAGGTATCCCACCTGCTCCCAGAGGTGTACCCCAGGTGGAGGTCACTTTTGACATTGATGCAAATGGCATTCTGAACGTGTCTGCTGTGGACAAAAGCACGGGTAAAGAAAACAAAATCACCATCACCAACGACAAGGGTCGTCTGAGCAAGGAGGAGATTGATCGGATGGTGGAAGACTCGGAAAAGTACAAGGCTGAGGACGATTTGCAGAGGGAGAAGATCGCAGCAAAGAACTCCCTGGAGTCATACGCCTACCACATGAAGAGCAGTGCTGAGGACGAGAGTCTGAAAGGAAAGATTAGCGAGGAGGATAAAAAGATGGTGATTGACAAGTGCAACCAGGCAATCTCCTGGCTGGAGAACAACCAGCTGGCGGAGAAAGACGAGTACGAGCATCAGCAGAAGGAACTAGAGAAGGTGTGCAAGCCGATTGTGACCAAGTTGTACCAGCAGGGAGCAGCACCAACTGGAAGCTGTGGCAGGCAGGCAGGAGGCAGCTCTCAGGGTCCTACTATTGAAGAAGTGGACTAAAATCATGGATGAAGTTTAATAAAAAGAGATCATAGCCGTTTCACTGTTGTTTGGTAGTAAAATAGACAAAAACATTTTATTGTTTTTCTCATAATATTACTTAATAAAAATGTTTTTTTTAATTCATATGTATTTATGATTTATTTGAATGCTAAAAACTGTTGCACTTAATAAATCAACGCATCACCTTTGCAGGTTATCCAAGCATAGCGTTTCTAACTTTTAAAAAAAACAGTGTGCCTTTTCTAAACAAGTTAGCAGCGAAGTATGTTAATTTTTCAGGCTCTTTTAAATAGACCAATATGTATTTCTCTGTAAGTCATGCAAAGAAATCTGAGGCTTGTCAAACTGCATTTGTAGACTGGTATTGGTTGCAATAACCAATAATAAATTCTAAGCTTGAAAATGGTTTTACAATCTGTTGTAACAATCAATATATTGATTAAACATTTAAATCAGATTTTGTTGATTCTGTTGTTGAGAGAAAAAATGAAGTCATTATAATATTATATAATTTGGTAAATTTCTCCCTTTCTTATCTTTATACTCAATGGATACTTCAGTCCTGTATTTGTTTTTAAATACAATCAAAATATAGCATTCAAAACTCATTGTAAACTATCCAGACAGGATTAATAATCCAGTAAATTCTGTGAATATTTGAAGTTCTCCCTTGTGAAATAGCATCTGACAGAACTTCATACAGAATGTGACACATATAAGGTAGCTTTCCTTTTTATTCACACTGTTAAAAATTGCATTTATTCTGGTGAATGCAAGAATGGTCACCATCAGATGGTTGGGAGAGATTCTCTTGTATGCTGATTTAAACTCCACCTCATTTCAGACTATAGATGTATATTACTAATTACTCTTTTCCATGATGCTATACTTACAACCTATAATATAAAGGCACTGCAAATCCACTCTGATGCTTTCTATTAACCTTAATTTGAGTTCTGTCTGGTGTCATAGTTATCCTGAGAAGAGATGTAATTAGACAAAGGTCAAAGCGGTAGTATTGGTTTACACTGGATGTGCATATAGCGCAAGGTTTTGCATGATGACAAATCTATAAAAGGCACAACAGGGTCCACTCTCTGTATTTATTCATTTATCATCATTTTTAAATTATCTTACACTCTCAATAGAGCACTTTCATTCTGTTATTTTTAAGAGTTGACCAATGTTGTTCACTGAAACCTCCACTAGGTGGCAATCTTAGGTTATGTCAGTAACATCAGGATTTTCTTCTCCACACTTCTGAGCTACCTGTTGGATCACATTTTGTAGTAGCCCTTTCATCAGTTGAATCAATTTCTTAGGCTTTTTAAAAGTTCAATTATTAAAACAGCTGCAGAGGTTAAATAAATTTAGAGGTAAATCTGCATCGACAAATTGTTTAGCATTATCTGCCCTTCTTTCTTATTAGGGCCTACTGATCAATTAGTCATTGGGTCAAGGTGCAGTAGCATCTCTTAGATGTAGCCTACATATGCAGGAGTGGATATGGGCCTAATTAACACCTGTCATAGGCTGTAGCATCCTCTGCTATATCCACCCTACCACCGCAATAACACACAGTAATACACAGTAGTGCTGCTCATTTTTGCCATTGGTCCTATTATAGGTCATGTAAATTCAATATATACACCTATGTGATTTTAACACAAGGTAGCACCACATTGTATGTAAACATGCCCCATCAAAATTTTAATTGGCAGTTGATGAAACACCTGAGTTATTGCTCTCATCTCCCTTTTTTTTATCTCCCTTTCCCCACACAAACACACACTTCATCAACCCATCGCTCTGTGGGATTAGAGGGAGTGGTTCAATATTGCGCCAACTTCCGCCAGCAACCAAAGGGTTAAGCCGTCGAGTCTGTTGGTGAACGCACCATCCAACAGTGCTGTGTCGCTAAGGGAAGACTGGCTTCTTGTGGAGAAGCAACAGATCTCCCAGCTGGAAAACAAGCCCACATCTGTCTTCACCGGGCAGGACCCTCGAGGAATACCTCTTTACCTCAGGCGTCGTGGTCTTATGTGGAGAGGAGAAAAAGTTGTCAGGCATTAGTTGTGGATTTTGGCATCGTTGATTTTGGTGAAGATTTTGGGGGGACAGCGGTGAGGAGTGAGGAATGACCGCTACCTTCAGCTGAGTGCTGTCAGTATCTTTTCTGTACATTGACAACAGCCTTTGTGTTCATGAGAGGGGAAAAAGTTTAGGCCTAACATCTGGAAGAAGCATTAAGCCAACAGTAGATTCGCTGTTTTGTTGCGGCACCAGACTGAGTTCTGTAACAGGTGGTTTTACGAGCGCGTCTCTCTTTGGACCATTTGGGTGTTGTTTTGGATAAATAAGACATGCAGACTATGAGAAGGACTTTGGCATAAAATGACGGCGCACTTAGCGTTCATTTTCTGATTTTTATTTTTATTTTTTTGTCCCGAGTGGAAGACAGTTTATAACGGAGGGGCGAGCAGCCGGAACGTCCCTGCTTCTCAATGATAAGCTCTGTGTGTGTTTCGTCTTACCGAGGGCGCAAGTCAGGCAACAAAGCTCCGTCTAAAACATGTCTGAAGGAAGAGATGACCAGAGGGGAAGACTCTGACAAAATTACCATCAACGTGGGCGGCACTCGACACGAGACCTACAAGAGCACCCTCAGGACCCTACCGGGGACCCGCCTGGCATGGTTGGCAGATCCGGACACGCAGGTCAGCTCCAACTCGGACGGCCCTGCGCCCCCGATCGCCCCCGAGTTTTTCTTCGACAGACACCCGGGCATCTTCGCCTACGTACTGAACTATTACCGGACTGGAAAGCTACACTGCCCGGCCGACGTCTGCGGGCCTCTCTTCGAGGAGGAGCTCGCGTATTGGGGGATTGATGAGACTGACGTGGAGCCGTGTTGCTGGATGACCTACCGGCAGCACCGGGACGCGGAGGAGGCCCTGGATATATTTGAACCGCCGGAGCCGGAGGACACCGACGACGAAAGAGAGATGCCCAGGAGGTTCGGTATCGAGGACTGTCCTAACAGGTCGAGGGGCTGCTGTGAAGTTTGGCAGCCGAAGGTTTGGGCCTTGTTCGACGACCCTTACTCGTCCAAAGCAGCGAGGGTGAGTCCTCCCAGGTGTTTTCTCTCCTCAGTGTGGGCAGATGTGACAGTTTGACCCCAAACCTGAGAGTGTGTTTACACTGATTGGGTAAAAATGGCCACGTGTTGTCTTAATCAACAGGTGTCCTTCTCAAGCTTCAACCAATCAGGCTCCAATAGTTTCATTTTGTCAACATCTGAAAGTGTGTGTGTGCATATAAGTGTGCGTTTATATATATATATATATATATATATATATATACATTTGAATATATATTTGTAATTATTATTTAAACCTTAATAAGAATTCTTTATCAGTTGTCTCCCCCCAACATCAACACTGCTCACATGAGCACTTCTTTGTGAACATTGAAACATATAAAACAGACACAGTCTATATCAGTCTGTATTTCTGTAGCAGAGAGTCAGCTTCTCTAAGTCTGTGTTTGGTGTGTGACACTTTTTTGCATTTCACAAATCAGTAGCTGCATTTTGTAGCCCTGGCAACAAACCTCAGTGTCACAGTGACAGTTACTTTAGTGCATGCTGCATTTCATGGAGTTTGTAACAATTCTGTTTTTTTTCCCCAGAGTTAAGTGCTTCCTTTACATGACTGTATCATTAACATTATTATTATTTGTATATCTATCTGGTTGTTTGGCATCAATCTGTCCCCCCCCCCCCCACACACACACACACACACACACACAGCAGGTAAGGAATGTACATCAGAACACCCTAAAATGAGAAACACAGTGAATAGCCTCTTTGTAGCCTCTCTCTGCAATTATCATAACGTTAACGTTTCAAAGAAACTATTATGTAGCTCATTTGTTTCAGTTAGTTCTAGAGAAGCAGCCATTGCAGTGTCTTTGGGTGATTCTCATTTCCTATTTTTTATGGTCTGACCTGTTGATTCTGATGTGCTGTCTTAAATAACTAAGTGTAACTTCTCCTTTTAACGTTCATAAGAAAAGACAGTTGTTTTAAGCCTGCCCTACCTCTCTCTGTTCCTCCCTCACATGTGCTTGGTATCTCGGATAATCAGCATTTTTGTTTTTCATGAAATAAGCTTGAAACATAGTGTGTCGAAATTTCACCCACAATCTGTTTTCAGCAGTGGCATGAGGAGGGAGTTTGATTTAAAAAAAAAAAGTGTGTGTGTGTGTGTGTGTGTGTGTGTGTGTGTGTGTGTGTGTGTGTGTGTGTGTGTGTGTGTGTGTGTGTGTGTGTGTGTGTGTGTGTGTGTGTGTGTGTGTGTCTCCACTGTTGAAATCGTGTGATTCCAGTCAACAGCCGCCAATCTGTGCATCTCGAGTTTGTTAGAATTGTAAAACAGTCATTTGGTCTCCTTTGATGGAGATGCAACAACTCAGAGATGACCCTTTTCTGTTTCACCATCACAGTGTCCTTGTACACAAAGTCAGCTCAGTAAAGAAATGGTCTTCCTGTTTTTTTTTTGAAGACCTTAACTTGTTTCCTCAAACCCTGACCTCTACCCTATCAAACACCCAAAACACAGAACTCAGTGTTTCCCCCTTGATAATCAGCAGTTTTTTTTTCATGAAATAAGCTTGAAACATAGTGTGTCGAAATTTCACCCACAATCTGTTTTCAGCAGTGGCATGAGGAGGGAGTTTGATTTAAAAAAAAAAAAAGTGTGTGTGTGTGTGTGTGTGTGTGTGTGTGTGTGTGTGTGTGTGTGTGTGTGTGTGTGTGTGTGTGTGTGTGTGTGTGTGTGTGTGTGTGTGTGTGTGTGTGTGTGTGTGTGTGTGTGTGTGTGTGTGTGTGTGTGTGTGTGTGTGTGTGTGTGTGTGTGTGTGTGTGTGTGTGTGTGTGTGTGTGTGTGTGTGTGTGTGTAACTCTCCACTGTTGAGATCTGCACAGAATTGGATATATTAGGGGACAGTTCGGTTCCATATAAAACAGTCATTGGTCTCCTTTGATGGAGATGCAACAACTCAGAGATGACCCTTTCCTGTTTCACCATCACAGTGTCCTTGTACACAAAGTCAGCTCAGTAAAGAAATGGTCTTCCTGTTTTTTTTTTGAAGACCTTAACTTGTTTCCTCAAACCCTGACCTCTACCCTATCAAACACCCGAAACACAGAACTCAGTGTTTCCCCTAGGTTTACAGCGTTGGGGGGGTGGGGACAAGCTGACACACAATCCACTATCCTATCCCTATAATAAAGGCACAAAAAGCCCAAAAATAAATCTTTAAAGAAAATTAAAAAAAAAAAATAATAATAGTTTTTTTTTTACTTGACCTTTATGGCGTTACCATATAATGGTAGGGGAAACACTGGACCTAGACTATGCTGCTCAGTATGGGCTTTACTTCTGTCATTCAAAGTCAATGTGGTCTAATAGTTTCTCAGGACTAAAGTCACATACACAGCAGAGGAATATGACCCCCTTCATAATATCTATTTTCAGATTCTACATCTGTACACAGGATTTGTGATTTTCAGCATGAGAAGTGTTCTGGTTTCTGTCTGTAGTAAAATTGTATTCAGAGCTGTATTGACCAATTACGTATCAGCAGGCTTTGGTGTTTACAGGTGAAACGATCCGTGTGGACAACAATGAACAGGGGGACTCTAACCACAGCTCTGCTTGACGCTTGGTGGCAAAAGCCAATCAGCGTCAAGATTAGTAAATCACATTGAATTTTGCTTCTTTTCGGGCTCATACCACTGAAGTGATCCAGAGTGAAGCTGCTGTATAGCTTTCATTCTTCAATTGACTCAGATGAAAAGATGAACGAGCGCTACTCCGGGATATTATGGACAAACAATAGACAACGTTTAATTCACTGACGTAAACGCCACACACAAAAGGAATTCCCACCTGGAAGTTTTTCAATGCTGACCTCTGAATCTGAATTACTGAGAAATTCCCATCTATTCACAACAGAGGCATATGTCGTCTCTCAGACGATGATAGACAAAGTTTGCCGAATGGTTCTGAGATTGCCTCCTTTGAAAAACTACAGCAGGAAAGCAAATGGATGTGGAGCATTGGGGAGGATCTGGAAAGGCACACTAAAAAGTACTGTCAGAATCAATAACTTCATCAAGACTTTAAGCACAGTTAGCCATGACCCTGTTTCCGTTCTGATTTATAAAATCAGTTAATTCTTGAAAACTAAAATGAGGAGAAAATCCAGTGTAGATTTATCTAAAAAACATTTTAAGCTTACTGTCACTCCATAATTTAATTCATAAACCATGAGAAATTGAATTATATTGCTTCTTAGACAGCCTTATGATTCCCCCATTCATGTAAAAAGCAACTTTTCTGTTTTCACTTAAATATATAATCTGAAATTGTACCAAAAACACTGAAATGGAGAGAATGCAGTTTTATTGGCAGAAACACTGAAGTGTTCCCACACATCCTGTTCAAGGTTTGCACTCAGCAGTCCTCAAATCACGAGTGTTTGGAAGGCAGCAGGAGAGTACAGCCATGTACTGGAACAGAGAGCAGTGGGACTAAGGTCTGTAGTCTTTAGACTCTTACAACCCAGACGATTTGCGAGTTATAGTGTTTTTCTTCAGATTTCTTATCATGTCATCAGCTGTTTGATATGAATTTATGACTTTAACAACTACAAACTCGTCTGAAAATACATGTTGTAAATCAAATGTCTATTTTCTCTTAGAACTTCTATAGTTTATCAGCAAGCATTTGGAAGAATGCTGTGCCTAATGGCTTAGCAACAAAAGCAGCCGAGTGCTCAGTAAACGTGGAAAGTGAATATCGAGTCGAGTGTCACTATAGCTGGAGCTGTCGGGCTAAGGGCCAGGAGCTTTCATCAGACAAAGAGAAAAACACATTCTGTCCAGAGAGAAAAGGCTGTTGCTCAATCTCATTTCTGTTCGCATGTTCGTTGAGTTGAATGGTCTATCCAGAGACTCTGAGAATAGTGATGTTATTGCATGCCATGCCAGTCACACTCGTATAGTGTTTATTTTAGCTTCTTGTGCAGGTGGCGTTAGCAGGCTGTCACTGAGTCACAGCTGCTGATGGTTTGGTGCCATCTGAAGATGACCGCGCCAGTTTATTGAGTCTCTCACCAATGAAGATATGTAAAAAATCATAATTTCTATGAAGAATAGCCATACGGATTTCTTAAAAGAATGTCACAATAACGCATTAGTTCAGGTATACGTTTTAACCCAGCCATAATGCTCACTTCCTGTTTGGCTGATTTATCTATGTATATTTACTTGTGTTTGTTCTGTGAGGATGCCGAGTGCATACTTAAGGAGTCACGTTACCTTCATGGCCTTTTGATTTCAAAAAGCCTCTCAGCGCAGCTCAGGTAATGTGATTCCTGAAAGCCTGAGGGAAGTTAATCTGTCCATCCTTACGGCCACATCCTCCCTGCTATCAACCCAGACTGGAGCTGCAGCTCTATGAAAGGTCTACACATGGCACCACTCAAAAATCAAAGACATTAGACATGAGATATAACATGTACCATTTTATACAGTAGTTGGACATGCATTTTTAATCAGCAGAACTTTCAGAGTAATGCACTATAGTTAATAGGATCTTTCCTGCCTGCACCTCGGCTTAATGATGCCAGCCTTTAGAAAGTGAATTGACTGTAGAGAGCAACTAAGTCAGCATATGATATACTGTAGGTCAAGGTGAATGGGTGGGTCAATCATGCACAGTACTTTAATCACAGATTGCAGATCTGAACTTTTGGTGCCTGAATCTTGCCTGAAAAGGACCATTTCACAACATCATCAACGAGTAAGGCTGGGAAATGGACGCACTTTGGTTGTGTTCCAAAACTTCTTAGTTGGGGTTCAGGAAAAGAGCAATTTTTGGCTCTCCTAACATACATTAGTCTGTAAAACTGATGGCAATCACATCAAGACCAACTATGATAATGTTAGCATGGCAA